CCTGTAGAATCCATAATTTCAAACAGTTCCAAGATCGGGCTACTAGATCAAAAAGTTACAGCCCTTTGAATTTTTGTCCGAAATTGTTTTTTGGCCCGATAACTTTTGATTGAGAAGTCTAATCGAAAAAGTACGAATTGTTTTGGATTCTACGCACCAAAATTAATAAGAAAAAGAGTTTTCCCGAGAAATTTTGGTGCAGTCGATTTTTGGTAAAAAAGGAAGGTTGTACACTGCCTTTTTTTGAGGCCTTCAAAAAAAATTGTCTCAGATCGACCGGAAAAAAATATTTTCTTATAGAATGTGGCCTGTAGAATCCATAATTTCAAACAGTTCTAAGATCGGGCTACTAGATCAAAAGTTACAGCCCTTTGAATTTTTTGTCGAAATTGGTTTTTTGCCCATAACTTTTAATTGAGACGTCTAATCGAAAAAGTACGACTCGTTTTGGATTCTACGCACTAAAATTACTACGAAAAAGTGTTTTCCCGAGAAATTTTGGTGCAGTCGATTTTTGGTAAAAAAGGAAGGTAATAATACACTGCCTTTTTTTTGGCACGAAAAAAAAATTGTCTCAGATCGACCGGTGGTGAATATATGGGAAACAGCTCAATTTTGCGGGCCTCAAAATTATCCTTTTTTGATATAAAAAAGGTGCGTTTCTCCAAATTTCAGACCCGTGCGACTTTTTTTCCGTTTTTTCTCGGAAACTTTGAGATTATTTGAAAAAATGTAGATAAATAAGTTGTTCATTTTTTTATTTCTTACAACTTTTACTTCGAACATTGTCATCTTTTGCCACAAATTGCAAAATATCTTTTTGAACCCTTTTAACCCCCGGTATTTCGCCCGCGGAAAAATTCAGCTGTTTTAATTATTTTTCCCCGATTTGGAAGCACTTTACCTACATAAAAAAAAACTGCAATAATCCAAATTCAAGCAATAAAAAGGCAGAGGCAACACTAAGGCAACGACTAATGATACCGCAGCCATTTTCCATCAAGTTCAATTCTTCTGCACCCTCAACACTGTTTTTCAAGTTTAATAACACTTCCAATATTTGATGTAGTGGATGTCCAAACACCTCTAACAATATTATCTTGTACGGTATGTTGTTTGCATCAGTTCCTGTGTGTCTAATTATTATTATTTTATCTATGAACCCAAAACTCGAATATTTCGAGAACCAGAGCATCGAACAATGTTAACTGTGACAACACTCTTAGTGATGACTACTTGGTGTTCTAATTCCAGGTTTGGATAATGAGAATGGTTCCATTCTTCCGTCACCTAGTATGAAAATAAACCATCTGCCATTTGAAGTCTTTCGATGCGCCTCTTCTTCTGACAGCCCGTAATCGAGACGGTCGCATTTGAGGTTTTCACCTCACAGACACATTCGTTCCCTTTCTAGGCCATATTTTCGAGATATTCACATTTATTTACGCTGACGAATATATCTCGTCGAGACCTACCACTTTTCATTTATGGAGACCCCCTTGTTTTCGAAATATTCACCTTCCACTTTTGATATGCTTAGAGTAGGAGCCTACAGTGAATTATTGGCCCTGATTAAAGGAAAATGGGTTCCATTCTTCCATCATCTAGTCTGAAAATAAACCATCTGTCATTTGAAGTCTTTCGATGCGCCTCTTCTTCTGACAGCCCGTAATCGAGACGGTCGCATTTGCGGTTTTCACCTCACAGACACATTCGTACGCTGACGAATATATCTCGTCGAGACCTACCACTTTTCATTTGTGGAGACACTCCGTTTTCGAAATATCGACCTTCCACTTTTGATATGCTTGGAGTAAGAGTCTACAGTGAATTAATTATTGACCCTGATTTAAGCAAAATTGAGAAAACACAATGCAAAAATCCGCAGTTCGATTACGAACTGATAATAGCGAATTTATAAAAAAAAAGTCGCCAAGTTTATAAATGATAAACTCCATATAAAAAATGAATCCGCTGGGGTTTCTTTTCAATATTGTAAACTATAGAAAAGTAATTTTGCTTTCCGTACGACTGCGAATACGTTTTCACTTTCATCGCGACACAAGGATTCCTTAACAATGTGTTATACCTAACTATTGTTGCCTTCTTTACTTATTCCACTTTTATACTGTCCTTTTCCTTTGGTCTTATTGTTTCTAATTTATTTTTCCAAACCTGCACATATCAAATCCAAACGACGCAACCACCTAGTTGTATTAATACCCGAGTGCCATATAGTCTTAATTTAGCCATATACAAAAATATGCGCTACATAGCAATTGACTAGGCAATTGGAATAAATGAATTAAAATTCCAACTTCCCTTATCCATATATAAAAATTAAGCTTAGGATACATCTTATTGGTTTTCTTTTCCACTTTAAATGGACCTTAATGAAATGTGTGGGACTCCGATTTATCAATGCATAAGTCGCACTTTATCCTACTGTAGTCAACCATAAACACTAAATCCACGTAGCTTCCTGTCCTGGTGGATTTTGTTTCATGCCATTTGTGTTCGTGAAAAATTCCTTCGAAATCCTTACTTCAATAGCCAATCCTCAAAACTAAACTGGTCATATTGGGATACTCAAACTAGACGCACTGGATCAACCCAAAGAAGTGGCAATCAAATGCGAAAACCATAAAACCAAAATGTTTATTTGTAAATATCGAGAAAACACTTTCATTGCTCAATTGATTTGTCTGCAGTCATTATGTAAAACAGTCTGAAAATAAATTCGTACCAAAGCTATAGAATATTTGCGAATATAGAAGCATGTTTCATTGCAAAGCCAGATTGGCGCCCCACCTTTTATACACCTGCACAGTTTTCGTATTGACTTTATAACGTTTATTTTTTCAGACAGCTCAACTCGGAAAACATTGATACAATCATCGTATTCAAATTCTGCGAATTAACGCCATAGCGAAACAATGTATTTTTTCGCATAATGTTCACAGAGAGCGCCGATGCTAATGCTAAACGCCTCCGACGCTTATATTTAAAGTCAACAGTGAAAAACTGTGGGAAACGGGAGAGAGATTGCATGCTGCAAAAGCGAGTTCATGAATATTAGAATTTATTACATACAGTTCACACTTCCAGAATAAAGCGAGGGCTGCTTGAATTATACTAACTGAAACTGCAACAGAGCAATAGGTATGACACCCTTTATGAAAGGGCATCATTTCAAAGTCTTGAAATTGGAAAAGGATTTGTGGATGACTAATTCAAATTCAGCCAATCGAGAGTATAGCTTTCAGTCTTTCCAAGCCCAAAGCTCCCGGCCCTTTTGAATGGAATAGGAATGAGATATTTTAGACAAAAAGCCAAAAAGGACAGCAACCCTGACTATAGGGTCGCGGGGTGTCTCTTCAACTAGGCAATGAATTTAAGGATGGGGAACAGTTCTGCTCCAGCATTTGGCTCGTAGCAAAGCGAAGCTATTTATGATTGAATAAAGTCCCCCTTATAAAACCAGAAACAGTGGGTAGTGGGATTCGAACTTACATTCTCCCCAATAGCAGTCGCAAACGCTCCCGAACGCTACAAGCCTCGGTATGGAGTGGCTAAGATGTCGAAGCCCAAGAAAAGACACATAATTCCGAATTTTGGTCATATTTTAATCTTAAAAAAGGACAACTTGATTTTCCAGACTAGCATACCTTACATATACGGGTAAAAATTGCTCCTGGCCAGATCATTTGTGCCGTTCGCTTCCTGTAGAATCGAAGTCAAAATAAAAGAAACTAAGAGTGCGTTTATTGAGCTTTTCGTACATGGATAGAAAGCGCGACAGAATCGTAAATGATTTTATTGTACCATTACTGCCGCGAGCATTACTTCACACTATCCCATAAAACTAAAATATTCAACATTTTAAAGCTGTCACGGCCTGCTATAAAATCAAAACGATAAGTTAAAGATTGGCTTATAACGTCCCAAAAGTGCTTAAGTTACGTTAAACTTTTTTCAGTAGGAGATGTATAATAATCGCATAAACAACAGAAATAAACCTGCAAGTAGCAGTTTCTAACATTCTGAGGCATAACTCGAAATTTATTTTAATGAAAAGGGGTAAAAATGTTTATGTGCTTTCATTAACATACCCGCCCTGCCTATTCAGATTTATTTTCTGCATTTTAATGGAACTGTTAAGTATCCTTTTACCTACATTGTGCTCGTTTAAAAATTCACCTAAATCTAAATGAAGATTTTTTGGGGCGGAGCATATACCGACCACTAAATGTAAAACAAGAACCTTTTTGTTTTTACGAGTTACATAATTTGTTATTCGTTCTCCTTGGCAACCGTCCACAGCCACCTTCCACAAGACCTATAACAGTCGCCATCGTCCCTCAGAAAAACATGGGAACATGTTGCAAAATCTTGACCCAAAGCTTTCGGGGTGGATTTTATGAGAGGCTCAGCCGTATACTGTCTCAGACGCACTACGAAGCTAAGCTAGTTGGGAGTTAACATTTCACCAGGTAACCGGAGTGTCGGACCGTAGGAGTCAGACTCCTGCAGATTTTCCTTGAAAGCAGTGCAAATTACCACCATTTCAAATTGGAAGAGCTTTGAGGCAAGATTCACCAGCGCTTCACATAAGCGCTGCTTTCCCCTGTTCAGTCGAAATTTTTCAAGCTACCGAATTTCAACGAGAACGAACTAAACGTATTGAACAGGTGTGAAAGTGGCTACAATAGCGCACCCAACTTCGTGAGGAAATGCGCTCTTTTGTTGTAGGTGAATATCGCACTACGCTGAGGGCTAAACGTTACAGTACGTTTTTTTGTGAGCCTCGAATGTTGTCTGACATCTTACACCAGTCGAAAATTGGCATCTCGTGTGACATTTATTTGTTCATTTACGAAACACGTGTATCTTCTATGTAATCTGGCGCATAAGACGCGCTGGGAACTTAATGAGATCTGCAGTCATAAACAAAGTTAGCATTTATTAATATGCGCACATTTAATTATGCTATATTCGATATGTTTTTCAATACTAGAACCATCTATGGTAAAAAAATGTCATAGAAATGTCTTACGTTGGCATTGGAGTCTACGCATGCGCACGCCTGATCTTTGCAATATGCGATATGGTTGCCTTTACTAGAAGAAAGAGTCATTTTATCTACTACTCTTGCTCCTAATATGAAATTGAGCGTGTTTATTAAAGATCTTGATAATTGATCTAATTATCACACATTAAGTTGCTAGTTTCAACAATAGTGTTGCTGACAATTTTTTCTTTTTTTTCAGAATTAGGACGATACGAAACTGCTTACGCCTGCGAAGGGAAAACGCTAAAAATCGAGTGCAAAGATGGGGAATTAATCAAGCTAATACGGGCGAACTACGGACGATTTTCGATAACGATATGTAATGATCACGGGAATACCGACTGGAGTGTCAACTGCATGTCTCCAAAGTCGCTGAGGGTTTTACATAACAGGTAAATACGGATTTACATTTTAACTTACGTGTGATCTAATATATGTGCATATTTACTAATACCTCCCACATTTTCCGTCTCTCAAATTCAGATTTTAGTAACCCATTCAAAAATTAATCTATGTCAAGTTTGATCTCGCTCCGGAAAGGGCTCTTACTGGATGAATAAGTTGAATGCATAAGGTTTTAATGTACCGCTCTGAATATTTATCTTCAAAAACCATCAGATCCGTTGAAATACTGCTGTGCTTCTATACTTCGTAAATTTTAATCATTTTCATTTACACCTACGTACAACTTACTGTCAAATTTCTGCAAAAGCAAAGTCTGCAAGGCGAAATGCAACGAAAGTCAAGCTAACGAACTGTAAAGAAATGGGGACGCTTTAATTCTATGTGAGCTCCCAAATCTTACGGGTAAATGAATTTAAATGCAGCATACAATAGAGACCGTGCAATGCCGGGGAAGATATTTGGTTTGTTTCCTTGTTGCTCTAGAAAATTTGTTGATGACGGTTTTACGGATATTAAATTGCACTATATTTTCTCTGGGGTTGGGCTTCGCTACATACATAGATTGTAGGGGTGTGATACCACAGTTTTTCGGTATTTTGAAATTAAACAAAGATTAAAGTGGAAAATAAGATCAGTGTGTAATGAGAACATTGGCTTCAATTTGTGTGTCTGTCCGTGAAAATAATGTCTGGGACGTTTGTTTCAAATTTCGAAAAAAACTGAAATATCTCAAAAGTACACATTTAATTCAAATTTTTTGTAGATTAAAAGCAAATTGCTGTGGCTAACACAGATAATTTGGTTTAAATCGGAAATGGGAGTACAGACAGACAGACGATTCCTTTCGTCGAGATCTTTTGTAATATCATGAAGGTTATAAACATTTAACACCCCCCTCGCTCCACTGAGAGATTGGCCAAGACCGGTAGACCATACAATTTCGTACCGAAGAAGGATATACTAGGTGACTCGAGCTTCGAATGAACAACATTTAATAGTTCGGATGACGGAACTTACGGACAGAATTAGCAAATCCATTTTCTGGATCTGTCTTGTTCAAAATTTAGTGTAATCTATGTATTGTAGAAAGCTATACGGAAATATGTCGGGCGTTTTCCTCTTGTCTTTTGCAGGTGAAAATAAGAGAATGGCGGTGGGTAGGGAGGTGACGTGGCTAGGTACTCTGCGTTCTCCCCGTGTCCTGTTAAGAATTGTGCTACATGGTAGTGTACCTATAAGCGCCGTTTAACCGCCACCAGGTCGTCAGGTTCCCACCCCTTTAGGAGGCTAGGAAATCAGTCTTTTCCTGGACACAATTGATTGCCATTATTGCTTATTCCATATTTGTCAAAAACGTGGGGGCTCAGAGTCAAGTTGATCCCCGAGATTTGAGTCCAGACACCACCGTGTCCCATAAGATTATTTTCGAATATTTGACTTTCTTTTGCTTGATCGTTGTGAAAATGTAGTTGGGGTTTTTTTTAAGTATCGTTGGAATTTTATAAAATGAGAAAAACGCGAAAAGCAATTTTTTCGGCTCAAAAAAGCACCAGTATATCGATAGCCTCTTTTTTTTAGTCAATCTCATCGTATAGGTTGGTACAAATGCTTGGCATTTTAGGACTTCGCTACTTCCCACAAATTCCACCAAAAAATCCGTAGGGCCCTGCATTTCAATTCAACTGTTTTTCAGACCAACACAAATTAAAATGGGATCAGCACAATTTAGCACTATTTAAGAATTTTCATTACAGTATTTTATTAATTGGAGAGAAGGGGCTAACTTGATGGAGCTATACAGAAGCGCGTCGACAGTATTCCCTTATAGGGAAGGAAGGAAAGAATCCAACGTATTACGTGAGGGGTGGAGGGCGCCGCGGTTCAAGTTTGACGGAATCTGGTTTTACTGGGTAGATTTGAAGTTGGTCGCGTCACGAACCTAGAGAATTGCAGTACCTTTAAAAACGTGTAATTATTTGGGAAGGATTCAGGAGATTGGATCTTGGTTTTTTGATTTGTTGTCCAATTTTATACAAAAAATTGATATCTGAAGATTTTTGAACATGAAAATGACGAAATCAAAATTAGTTTTTGAATATTTGAAAAAAAATAAATCGTTTAATTCCAAATTATTGCAAGGTCCATAATACATTAGGAAAAATTGCTTCGCACATGAATATTAATTAATCTTAATTAAATTTGGGCATGCGCGAACGGTATTCGAATAAGATTTTTTCAGTCGTATGTAAGAACTATTCCACAATTTGTTTCTAAATACGTGATATTATTGAAATCGTGAACCTCTGGCCAGGAATTGGAAGAATTTAAAAAATAATGTTGCTATTGTCTTCTGGTTCATTTGCGTAATGTTCACACGTGACAATCGGACCAAATGGCAATTTGGTCTTGAAACTTGGCTTCTTCAGCATTTTTGAGTTCCTTTGACTATTTCGCCTAATTCGGGTTTTCTATATTTCTCAAATCCCTCGCCTTTCCCAAACTACTTGATTTCTTTGTTAATCTTTCTTTGATCATATTTACTTATCGGGGTTATTCAGTTTCGTCAAGTCTACCTTGTTTTTGGAACTATTTACTTTCGAAATCCGTGAACAATATGCGTATGCACCTCTTGAATTTTTTGGTATTCATCCCTGTGAGCGGGAAGGAAATTCACAGCAACCTCGAAGGGGTTTTTTTAATTAAATGCATTAGGGTATCGAAGCGATATTTCTCACACAAAAATTAATGATCTTGGCGATGTCTACACGGTGGTGTGAAGCCGTGATTGTCTACTAAATAGGGTCAGATGTATCTTTTCATAGATACCTACAGAATGAAATTTGACAGTTTGATTGTGCTTGGTCAAATGCAATAATAAGTACTTATTGGTGAAGCCTGTTTGGTGTTTGTACATGCTTCATCTGTATTTAGGCAGTCATATAGCATTAAAACAAAGAGAAGTAACTTAAAGAATTTTAAACACTGATTAATCAAAGCACAGCAGTTGCTGGTAAATCATTGGCATTCATGACAATACCGTTTTGTATTATACTGTTGGAAATTAAACTAAAATTTGCCGGACTTCACGGAAGTGAGTACCCATTAACTCTTTCATGGCCAAGGATATTTAGATTTAGTTGTGTGATAACCATAATTTTTGTCTTTTTTCTTTTTGTGACTACATAATTCACCTCCATCAAGTTAGCATTAACATTTCCTTGTTGCAAATTTTAATTGAAGCGTTGATTACACTTGCACAATACTAACTTGACAAACAAGTTCACATTGTTTTATACAGCGTTTACCAACTAAATTTAGGTAGTTTTATGAGACATTGAATCTTAAACGCAATTAGAACTTTGAGTTCCAAATTTGTGCATCAAACACCTTTCTGAATCTATTCTTGCTAAGGTGGTAAACCAAGTGAAAGACTTCGCACCAAATACCTTCAAATATTTGTACTTGTAGATAATGCTAACTTGATGGAAGTCCATCGAATACATGTTTTACTGTGTGTTAATTCTTGTTTCTGTCAGTTATGTGTATCATTGCTGTACATCATGGGAACAATCGCTTTGTGCAAAAGATTGGGCTTAAATTTTGCTTATATTTCAGCCAGTAACAGGAAGCAAGTGCATGAATTGTGTTTTTAACCATTTAAGTGCATGGAGAGGGGCTATTAGAGATAGACCCTACTATTTTACGTATTTCAGATGCCAATATCAAAGAAACTGCATTGTCCGCGTCAACAATGAAGTTTTTGAAGGTGATCCTTGTCCTGGCACAAAGAAATACATCGAAGCACATTATAGTTGTGTAGGTTAGTTAACTACGGATTAATTTGCCATTTTTTGTTCAATTAAAAATTTATAAAATCGGTAAGATACGCAAAATTGACAGAAATGGGAAAGCGCTACGTAATTTGTATTAATGCGAAAGTGCTTGTCCCAGGTGCAGTCAAGTGCAAAATTGTAGTATTCCTGCAAGCACTAACATGTTTGGTGACCCATGCCCCGGTACACTAAAATATTTAGAAGCCCACTACCAATGCCTTTCTGGTAAGTTACCTACATTTTTTTTTCAATAACGTCGGTGCACTGTCTGAATTAATGCGATGGTTGTGGCAGACCATGAAATGATTGGCAGATATTAATTGTAATAATTGATTGTCAAGTTTTTCTAGATTTCACCGACGACGACCAGACGTGGATAAAATCTCAAATTACGTACATTTTTAGTCGAATAACATGAATCTAAGGTGTCTAAGTACACATTGATTACCACGTGCCAGATGTGAACCTATAAATAACTGCTTTTCCACTTACTTTTTTTTACTATTTGTTGGTAGAGACGTCGCAGACGCACGAGTGCCTAAAGCGTCTTTTTCATACGAACGTAAATTTTTCGTTGTTTATTTGCGCATACGAAAATCGAACATTGAGACGTATGCGCATTTGAAATGAGTTTCCGATTTAATTTTATTGAAAATATGTTCACTTCAAAATTTTTTCCATATTTTAACAAATAAGCAGGGTTGGCAAACATCTGGGTTTTTGTATGCTTTGGGTGGGGTTTTGGGTATTTGTGTTGGGTTTTTGTGTTTTTCTTGGATATTTGGGTAATTTTTGGGTATTTGTCGAATTTTCGGAACTCTAACCTCAAATTATAGGAAAGTAACATTAATTTTGAAGTATTGCTCGATAAAGTAGAAAAGCTTGTAAAAATAATAAAAATGAGCCACTTTAAAAAAGAGAAAGAGTTGTTTTAGGTTTTTAATTATTATTTTTATTTTATTTTGTTCCTAATGAATAAGCCGTTTTGTATTTTTTATTTTAATGTAAATTTTTTTTGAAACTAGGAATAAGAATATAAAGACTGATCTATCAGTACCTGTCTGTGTTCTATGTTGTTTTTGTTTCTAATGAAAAAGCCGTTTCGTATTTTATATTTTAATGTAAAATGTTCTTGAAACTTAGGAATAAGAATGTAACACTGCTCTATCAGTAGGTACCTGTCTGTTTCCAAGGAAACTACATTATATTTTGTTGTTAAATGCTATATAAAAATTATCTCGATTTTGTCTCAAATTCTTTGGGCTTTTGTATGGGTTTTTGTGTTGGGTTTTTGTATAGGTCGTTGGGTGGGTTTTTGACACAAAAACCCTGTGGGTTTTTTTAATGGGTTTTTCGTTTTGCCAACCCTGCAAATAAGGCAGTTGGGACCTAGCAAACGAAAAACAATCTTTATACGTGGATGTGGTCTCAAATACTCAAACGAACTGGTATTTAGGCAGATATAAAGTGTTACTTCATTAATGTGCACTGTTTAGGAGAGAACAAGTAGGTAACAAAGTTCACATGTGACTTTTTTGAAAAAACATCATTCAGGCATGGGGCATTGTTATCCTTATGGATGAAATGCTCTCATCTGCTACTATACCAATGGAAGAAGTGCATTATTTAAAAAAAACTGTAAGAATAGGAAAAATAACAGATCCGTATTCGATCAATGTTATTCGACTCAAAATGGACAGTTTTAGGTGCTCAGCAACTTTTTTTAAATTTATTTCAGTGTATATGTGTCCTTAATGGAAAAATTATGATTAAGAAATTCAGATTTTGGAACTGTTGTAGGTGGAGAGATAAAACATTTCGGTTCCTAACCATCTACTCTTTTGAATATTATTATCAAAAGGTCTGCTATTTAAAATAGTTCTTCGGGCTGATTTTGGGTTCGTGGTTCATAATGAAGTAATACAGTGGTCGATCTCTAACAATGTCTTTCGTTCGATACGAAACACATTCTTATGTTTTTCTTTCTTTGGTTTTAAGTAACTTTAATTCCCCTACACTTACGACTCAAGGGTCTTTTCAACTTTATTTCGTCCCATCTGCGGACCGAGGAACCTTTTTATGAAAAGGAAATGTTAGAAGATATTATGAATATCTTCTAACATGGGTTGTTTTCGCACCTTCTCATCCTAATCTATAGGTAAAGCTCTCCGATAAAACTTTATCTATGTTCCATTTTTGAAACAAGAGATTTTTTCATTATGTCAGTTGTAATTTTTCCTACCGACTACAAATTTTGATGCCCACTTTTTAAGTTGTTCTATTAATTTGACTGCCTTCATTATTCGAATATTTTATAAATGCGATTTTTGCATTCAATTCCGTGAATGTTTGCAAATACCAAGGACTTCGAATCTGGAACGGAGGAGAGTGAATTTAGGCAAGGGAAATACGGAATTTAATACTTTTCTATTTTGCAAACTCTAATCCGGGCCTATATAGTCTATTCGAAATGATATCTTCTTTCATAAGACGAGGGATCAGATTTTGACTGGGCTCACTCTTTGAATTCTACCGACTGTAATCTATTTTCACTCGGTTTTCCAAGCACATCGTTTTTTTAGGCAAAAATGCTACGTAAACTTATATTATGGTACTGCCACAAATACGTATTGAGAAATATTTAATTACACAGCTTTCTTTGTTCTTAAAAACGCGTATCTAGACGAACATATTTTTTAATAGCGGCTACGACCACTACAACAAACCGACCGAGTCCACCATGGTTGATCACGTCGCAGCCTCCGGTATGGAGTACTGTCAAACCAACCGCAAGACCTCCACCTCCACTACCAAAAGTGTCACCGACTGTTTCGCCAAAGTCAACAGCAATAACTTCCTCCACTCAAACGACAACGGCATCACACAGCCCCCAACCTCTTCCAGTCGAACCGGTTTTAGATGATATTAATGTTAAAAGTAAAACCAGCGCCTTGCCTGACGAGATAACGACGATTCTGGTCACGGCAAGTACACCTAAGAAAGGTATTAGCATTTCTTTGCTTGGAGATACTATACCTTATATTATAGGTGATAATATGCCATCTTTCGACTATAATCCTATATCCAGCAATTATCCCCCACAAGTAAAGGATGTAGACAGTTTCAATTATTGTAGCCCTGTTACGATACGAAGCATTTATTGGAATTGGACGAGAGCTGGTGAGCTAATTATTCAACCGTGTCCGGGTGGCACCACGGGATTCGCTCGATGGAGATGTGCGTCTTCTGAAAGTGACACCGCTTGGTCCCCTCAAACGCCAGATTTAAGCGAATGCAGATCGGTTTGGTTAACTAGCTTAGAACAACGGTTGCTTATGGGACGAGATCCGCTCACGTCAATTATTAGCGATTTAGCTCAGGTTACTAGCAGCAAAACTCTGTATGGTGGAGATATGATGATAACGACAAAGATTATACAAAATATGGCGCATAAAATGTCAATGGACATACAGACGTTCCCAGATCCGAGGCAAAGAGAGGCTATTGTTACAGAAATGCTAAATGATGTGGTTAGGACCGGTAGTAATTTGCTGGATAGCTCTCAACATCCGTCGTGGAGAGATCTAAGTCACAAGGAGCAAATGCGCGTAGCTACATCTTTACTTATTGGATTAGAAGAAAATGCTTTTTTACTTGCCGACACAGTTATAAGGGAAAAGACTGTGGACCAAATTGTCAAAAATATAAGTAAGTAGACTATATTAGTGGTCGCGACAAAAGGTCAGGCGAGAATGTGAATGGGGCGCGGCGTGTTAAATTTTCTAGTTATTCAAGATTAGTAACACACCAGGGCTTTCTGGAAAATCCCGATTTTCGTCTCCCGATTTAACCTAAACCATTGAATAAAAATTATTCAATGCCTAAAGGTCCTATCCATACTGTTAAGAAGAGTTTTAATCCGAATATGCAGTTATGGTGCACGGTTCGCCGACTTTCTAAACCATCTCCTTTAAATAAAAACGACTAATTTTCCTTCTCCTCAACTACGTAACGTAGTTGCCGTTTGTTCACCACATATAAAGGTCGAGTACCTACGGCTATTTCTGAGCCAAAGGTTTCCTTTGAACATCATTAATTTGTGTGTTCCTAAGATGATTTTAAGAAGTGGAATCGCCCAGATGTTGGATGAGGGGGTGGGTGGCGGAAGATTTTCAGCCTCGAGATTAATAACTGTTTAAGTTTAGGTACCAAGTCAAGTTTGGTATCATTTTCAACTAAATAAAAGATGTGGAACTCAATTCTGGAATAAAAATTGCATCAATCTATAAAAGGCTGCAACCGCTGTGTAATAACTCGTATCATTGGTGATACCGGTGAATTGCGCCTCGAATTGGTGACAACGTTGGGGTCGAAGGAATTCTGGGAATCATTTGGCATCTTGGAAATGGTTTCCGTGTCGATCGTCGGTTAGCTGGCTGAAACCGGGAACGTGGTTCTCTCTCCGTTTTTACCAATGAGAGTGCAGCACATTTTAGTTTTCTGCCAGACGTGCATTCGGTGCGTCGGCGTCGTCGCTACATTGACATTAGGTACATTTTTTAATGAACGAATAATAAGGCTCTCTAAAGCAACTATTCTTTCAACATTCGTAATTCATTATAAGCCATGGAATTTTTCCTTGTGAAATAGGGAATTAAAAAAAAAGATTTTAATTTGTAGGTTTTTACTTCGGATACAATAAATGAATTCGGCATCCCCAATTTAGCTATACGAAAACGATACCAAACTTGGTCTAGTAGCTTAACTGGTGTAGATATCACGTTAAAGTTGAGAGAGTTGGCTCCACTTCTTAAATTCATCCTTGCGTCCTAAGGACCAATCCTGCCAAAGGAAATTCTTGGTTCCCGAAACGCCGTATTTCATCTGTACTAAGTAAAAAAATTCCTGTAAAAAGCCATAAAAAAAATTGTGAAGCGACAATTTTTCGTTTCCCCTTTATGTGCCTTGTCGTCGCGTGTCCTTTTGTCGTATGGTTCTCAAATCTGTTTGCCTCTTTGTAATAATTATGTTTCCAGTGCTATCAGTGAGAGTTTTGGAAACACGAAACGTCCACATCGAAAGATTCCCATCTGACAACAAATGGAGCTCAAGTAATGATTCCATCGAGTTGCCGCGTGGCGCTCTGTTGGAGAACAGCGAAGGGGGATTCGTGCGACTTGTCTTCGTTGCTTTTGATAGACTGGAAGAAATATTGCAATGGCAACCAGATTCGTTTGACGATAACTTTAATAAGAACGTCAGTAGAATGCTGAATAGTAAAGTGATATCGGCGAGTTTGGGAAAAGGTCGTCACATTCAATTGTATGAACCAGTACGACTAACTTTAAAGCATTTGAAAGTGGAGAATGTCAGCAATCCGTCGTGCGTGTTTTGGGATTATACGACCAGTACATGGTCGGAGGAAGGATGCCATGTTTACTATACGAATGAGACGCACACCATCTGCGAATGTGATCATCTTACTAATTTCGCCATTCTTATGGACGTTCATTCCACCTATCTTCCAGCAGGACATCAGATAGCTTTGCAGATTATCACATACGTCGGTTGCATAATTTCAGTAGTGTGTCTTGTACTGGCAATTATAACTTTTCAGTTATTTCGTGGACTTAAAGTAGGGTTAATAAGTTGTGGTGTTTTTTTAATCATGTCCTTTACAGAGTGATCGTACTACAATACACTGCAATCTGTGCGTTTGTTTGCTGATAGCAGAGCTCTTGTTTTTAGTAGGTATCGATCAGACTGATAATAGACTAGGTTGCGGTTTTATTGCCGCATTTCTTCATTACTTTTTCTTATGTGCGTTTGTATGGATGTTCTTTGAAGGTAACTATTGCCAGAGCTTAAGGCTTCAGTACTTACAAGATTGTTTTTAGGCTTCCAGTTGTATGTTATGTTAATAGAAGTATTTGAATCTGAAAAATCAAGATTGCGTTGGTATTATTTTATTGCCTACGGTCTTCCTTTACTCATTGTTAGTATATCGGGAGCTGTTTTTCCAACAGGTTATGGAACATCTCGATACTGTTGGCTACGAGCCGACAATTATTTTATTTATAGTTTTGTTGGACCAGTTATAGTAGTTATTATAGTATGTACTGAAATGTCTCAAATTGGTTTATTTAATTTCTGTGTTGCAGTTAAATTTAGTTTTCTTAAGTATGGCGATTGTGATGATGTGTAGGCATTCAAATGCATCCGTTTCTATGAAGAATAAGGAACATTCGAGGCTCGCCAGTGTCAGGTAATATTCTCATAATACAGTATCAATAAACAGTTTGGGTGTGGTGTTTGCACATTGATGAGCATGCAACATTTTCTTGTTCTTTATCTAATTATCCAAGTTTAATTTATAATCACTGTAGTTTTTAAAACAAATTTGAATGATGTTCTTAAACAGAGTATGACACTTTGATGTAATCTTGTTATCTAATGTAATTTCTTCTTTCTTGCATGGCGATCTTATCCTCTGGTAGTGGAAAGGAAGAAAATGCACTACAAACCAAATTTCAAGCTCACTTGTAAGAGAATTTTTGTTAACGTTCTAGCTCTTGTTTGTTTTATATGTTTGTATTGTGTTGCTTGTTCAGTATTGTGGTAACATTTGTCTCATTCAATTGGTACAATAATTAGTTCTGTCGTATACATATATCCTAATTCACAAAATTTATTTTTTGGAAAATTTTGGTATTCGTCCTCATTCAATGGTTGGAAAAAACAATGTGATCCATTACTTAACTCACACAGTTGCCATTTCATCTACTTCAATTAATTATCTGCAAATGATGTGGTACACATCCAATCAATTCAGGGTATGTTGTACAGTTTGGCTATTTGATATGAAAAGACCTTTTCATAAACGGTAACACTTTGAAGTAACTTTATATTTAAATACTATATCTAAATTTACTTACACATTATATATACGTCTTTTTTTTGTATTCTACACATATTATTAATTATTATTATTATTATTATGGTCGGTGTTTCTTGTGAGAACTCAGGTCTAGCCTGGTTAACTAATCGCACGGATAAAAATCAAGTAACGATTAGTGTCTGTGTCTGTGTCTGGTGAAGTTAATGTAGGGTCCTTAAAAAAAAAAAAAAAAAAAAAAAAAAAAAAAAATCGCACACGTACATTGGACATCTAGGGATAGCATGCAATTCGTACTTACCAACGCCAACGCTATCAGGAAAGAGGAAAACAAAACAAAACAAAACAAAAATCATTATAATAATTCCTGTAATTTTATTAAATGGAGTTTATTGTGTAAGTGTTTCTTTGGCTTTGCGTTTGGGTTGAATACGAGTGGGTTGTGACAACGCGGTGCGTTTCTGTGAAGAAGGAGTTCTGTGTTTTTTAATTGTATTTATGGTGTTTATTTGTTCCTGAGGTCGTATTTGTGAGGTTGCTTGGGTTTTTGGTGGAGATATTGCAGTATTTTGTGAGCCTGTGGTGCTGTTAAGGTTTTTGCGCTTCGGTTGTATACGAGTGGGTTGTTTCTGAGAAGAAGGAGTATTGTGTTTTTTAACTGTGCTAGGGCGTGTAACTTTATTGGATGGACCTGTCTTTGTAGTACATGTTGCGTTACTTGTATTTATGGTGTTTCTTTGTTCTTGAGGTTGTATTTGTGAGGTTGCTTGGGTTTTTGGTGGAGATATTATAGTATGTTGTGAGCATGTAGTTCTGTTAAGGTTTTTGCGTTGCGGTTGAATACGAGTGGGTTGTGATAATGTGGTGTGTTTCTGTGAAGAAGGAGTTATGTGTTTTTTAACTGTGCTAGGGCGTGTAACTTTATTGGGTGGACCTGTCTTTGTAGTGCATGTTGCGTTACTTATATTTATGGTGTTTCTTTGTTCTTGAGGTTGTATTTGTGAGGTTGCTTGGGTTATTGGTGGAGGCATTACAGTATTTTGTGAGCCTGTAGTGCTTTTAAGGTTGTTGCGTTTCGGTTGAATACGAGTGAGTTGTTTCTGAGAAAAAGGAGTATTGTGTTTTTTAACTGTGCTAAGACGTGTAATTTTATTGGGTGGACCTGTTTTTGTAGTGCATGTTGCGTTACTTGTATTTATTGTGTTTCTTTGTTCTTGAGGTTGTATTTGTGTTGTGGCTTGGGTTATTGGTGGAGACATTACAGTATTTTGTGAGCCTGTAGTGCTGTTAAGGTTGTTGCGTTTGGGTTGAGTACGAGTGGGTTGTGATAACGTGGTGTGTTTCTGAGAAGAAAGAGTATTGTGTTTGTTAGCTGTGCTAGGCCGTGTAACTTTATTGAGTGAGGGCGTCTTTGTAGGGCATGTTGCGTTACTTGTATTTATTGCGTTTGTTTGTTCAGGAAGTTGTGTTTGTGTGGTTGGTTGAGTTAAGTTTGGAAATATTACAGTATGTTGTGTGTCATGTTGTGAGTCTAAAGTGCTGTTTAGGCTTTTGCGTTTGGGTTGAATACTAATGGGTGGTGATAATGTGGTTTGCTTCAGAGGTGAATCTCTGATTGTAGTATATGTTGTATCATTTGTTGTACTTGTTTGTTCGGTAAGTTGTATTTGTGTGTTTGTTTGGGTTAGAGGTGGAGATATTACAGTATGTTGTGTACCGTGTTGTGAGCGAGTACTGTTGTTTACATGTATACGTTGTGGATCATTTGTGTATGTAGTATCTTGTGTTATGTTTAGAAATTTACGAACAATATGGCATGTGTTGATAATGACTGCTTTTTGTAAATGTTTGTATGTGTTTTTGTCTAAACCTAATAGTTGTAAATTGTGGTGTATTGTCTTTGGTATAACTCCGGTAGCACTAAGAATAATGGGAACTATAACAGTAGATTTCATTCTCCATTGCGTCTTAAGCTCGATAGCTATATCGGTGTATTTGCGGTGTTTTTCTGCATGTGTTTTAGTTAAGTTGTTAGTGTTGGGGATGGCAATGTCTATAATACAAATGGATTTTTGTGTTTTATCTATAAGTGTAATGTCTGGTCTATTATTGTGGATAGTTTTGTCTGTGAGTAGTGTCCTGTCCCAATATAATTTGTGTGTGTTGTTTTCGAGTATGATCTGTGGCGTGTATTTGTAGTATGGTGTCTTATCTGTTATGAGATTGTGTTTAAGTGCTAATTTTTGATGTATGATTTTAGCTACCTGATCGTGTCGATGTTTGTATTCAGTTTGTGCAAGTCGTGTGCATGCCGATATTATATGTTGGATTGTTTCTGATGTTTGTGAACAAAGTCGACAAGAATCATATTATTATCGGTGTTTCTTGTGAGAACTCAGGTCTAGCCTGGTTAACTAATCGCACGGATTAAAATCAAGTAACGATTAGTGTCTGTGTCTGGTGAAGTTATGTAGGGTCATTAAAAAAAAAAAAAAAAATCACACACGTACATTGGACATCTAGGGATAATGTAATTCGTACTTACCAACATACCTATTGATGGGCACAATAGCCAACGCTATCAGGAAAGAGGAAAACAAAACAAAACAAAAAATCATTATAATAATTCCTGTAATTTTATTAAATAGAGTTTATTGTGTAAGTGTTTCTTTGGCTTTGCGTTTGGGTTGAATACGAGTGGGTTGTGATAACGTGGTGTGCTTCTGTGAAGAAGGAGTTTTGTATTTTTTAATTGTATTTATGGTGTTTCTTTGTTCCTGAGGTCGTATTTGTGAGGTTGCTTGGGTTTTTGGTGGAGATATTGCAGTATTTTGTGAGCCTGTGTTAAGGTTTTTGTGTTTCGGTTGTATACGAGTGGGTTGTTTCTGAGAAGAAGGAGTATTGTGTTTTTTAACTGTGCTAGGGCGTGTAACTTTATTGGATGGACCTGTCTTTGTAGTACATGTTGCGTTTCTTGTGTTTATGGTGTTTCTTTGCTCTTGAGGTTGTATTTGTGAGGTTGCTTGGGTTATTGATGGAGATATTACAGTATTTTGTGAGCTAGTAGTGCTGTATAGGTTTCTGCGTTTGGGTTGAATTATTATTATTATTATTATTATTAAATAACTATTTTATTAGTTAAATATCAAACGTATGATTAAAAAATTAGAAACTGGGACGATTGAAATGAAGGAAAAAGTGAAGTAAGTGCAAAACTGGTATCAAACTTAAATTCAGTGAGCCAATTGCGTGGTTGGGAGGGGGAATCTAATTTATATAAGTTAAAATTCAGTTTCTTGATAATGGAGAATATTCATGGGTTCCTTAAGCTTATCTTTCTGTCCACCCATCTCTTTCAAAGGTCAACAATTTTGATGCAGGCAAACCACTATACTTATCTTACTAAAAGGGGGAAGCCCGTAAAGGTTGAGCCTTGTGCTACACGTTTGCTCTCCACATCCCTGATTACAAGAATACATCAATACCAAAAGCACATAAAGCGATCCTGTGTGAGTTAATTAATTGAATCGCCATAATTATGGGAAATTTACTAAAGATCACTAAGTATGTATTTTCCCCATATTGCATTTGAATTGTTGATAAAATAAATCAATTATTTTCATCACTATGCTATTTACTCCCTGTCATTTAATCATGGAAAATCTTAAAAATTCATGCAAGCATGTGTTGCAATCCTGGAAAATGGGGCGCGACCTGCTCAACAAGAAGTTAAAAAAACCACTAAAAATATTACAGGTTACAAACAATTACAACGTTTGTTCTTCTTGGTATTATGTATACAAAGCCAAAAAGAGCTCTAATGGCAACAAAATGGAAATGTGGCGCCATGACGTCAAGAAATTCTGATGGCTCTAAGTACCTAGAGTTGGTTTGATCCAAGTAAAGTAGAGTAGCAGCGCCAAGGGGAGCAGGGTGACCCCTAAAAGGTTGCACTAAGCTCCCATTGGCAGAAACATCTTATAAGTTACTTGTGCTCGTGCAAGCCCTACTCTCTTTAACAGTACACTGCAGAACCACCATCATCTTGCAGCTCTTCTGCTTTGCTTAGCGCCATCAGAAGCTTTAGTGTATTTTTTTGGCGTCGCTGTATTTATCATCAGATTGTAATGTAATTGTAAGACAACCTATATCAATGTCGATGTCGTATATAATATATCACTGGAACAACAGTTGTGCATTTCTGCAGTGAATATTTTTTTACTCTTTTGTTAGTTAGGATGTAGTAGAAGTGTTTTTTTGGAACACCATTTTCCGAAATGTTATTTGCGATGCTATTATATATTCCATACTTGTGCCAGTTTTTTAAGAAAATGAAGAAATTTACTGCAATTTTTCATACACAAACTCCCTTTTGTACTATACAGCTTACTTTGTAATTTTCTGATGCAGGATTCTTGATTTTTAATTGAAATTTTATTTTCAGGTCATGGTTGAGAGGAGCCATCATTTTAGTATTTTTATTAGGATTAACCTGGACTTTTGGATTTTTATATCTGGATAGGGAATCTGTAGCAATGGCCTACATATTTTCGGTCTTAAATTCTCTACAAGGCTTTTTTATTTTTATATTTCATTACGTCCAAAATGAGAAGGTAAGATGTTGTACGTTAACGCAAACGTCGATACTTTTATGAATTGGAATTAAAGTTGCTTTGAAAGGTATCTGATCTAAGTGTAAAAAGTGATACTAGTAGTTGCTAACACGGAAATAATTATGATTCTTTGTTACTATGTTGAAAAATTCTGTAACGAAAAGCAAAAATAAATAGTTAATGAATTCCCTGAGATTGTCTCATTTGTTATTTTTCGTTATATTTTGTCGATTTGAGTTGCGATTTCAATGCTACTGCACTCTTTGGTTTGCTGCTTGTCTCAGGGAATGAGTTAGTTATTTGAGTTTGTTCTATTTGGTTGCCGCACAGTTTTTATTTTTATCTCCTTCAGGTCCGTAAAGAATATCGAAAATTCATCCGACGGCATTCTTGGTTGCCGAAATGCTTACGCTGCTCTAAAATGAATACTGGAGCAGGAAGTAGTAGTGGCAGTACTGGTCTGGGAAAAGAGCGCCGTGCTAGTCTATATATTGGTTCAAATGGCAATCCCTCTGCTCCCAATTCACATTCCACAGACAATTCGGTGTTATCACCACATGGAACTAGTGTGGGTACCAACAGTATAGTCATCTCCAATAACCTTAATAATGCACGTCCTACTGCGCTGATTCAAGTTCTTGCCAGAACTGATCTCAACAATGTTAGTACCACCACTACCAACCACAACCGACTGCACAATGTAGCGCAACAAGGTATAGCAATAGAAAAATGCTTCACGCAGCTCTGTTCCTAGGTTTAACTACTGCCACCTTGATTATTCCTCTTAATAGCAAAGTATGCCTTCTGCACAAATAAATCGAAATTTAATACTATCAGATTATTACGCAATTTAAGCACACGAGATGTATTTCTGAGCTGCTTACTAACTTGCCACGTGGTGCTGTGGTGGTGCGTGCATTGCGTACCTCCTTCTGCATGCTCCTTTTTAGTTCTGATTTGGATATGGCTAACATTTTGCGCTTGCCGCTTATAACTAACAGTACGGTGAAGGTGCATTCTGTTGCAGTTGCAGCGAGGTTGGAGCTCTCGGAGCTGCAACAGTATGAATCGCGTGGGCAAATCTCCTGTACCTACATCAACTTCGACAGGCATGGCTACTACTCTTTGTCACACTCACCGCCCCAGTTCAACCACCCCTCCACCGGTTCTCGAACCGCCCAATACATCCACCCTGCCGTATATTCGCAATTTTTACAAAATATCGACTCATAATCCTAACTTGCCTAAGTCTGCTTCCACATGGGGTCCTTTGAATAAACCTTTACATTGGAAGGTGCGTAGCTCTTACCTGCATGCGACCAAATGCACAATATTTTTTAGTCTTAACATCAATTTGGGGAATGTTATTTACGCTTGTAGTAGTTGTGAATTACTTAAATGTAACAAGGTGATTTGAAGAAGTTAAATAGAGTGCTTTTGTTTATCCTCCTCCACATATAACATGTAACAAAAAGTAGGTGATCTAAGCAACTCTTTTTACATTCTAATAATCAAATTAGTTTTAGTATGGACCAAAGGTACAAAATAAATAAGAGACTTTCTTCAAAAAACGAAAAGAAATATGATACTTTCAAAATTTAGCAAATGGGGATCTCTCAAATTAGAAATTTTGAGGTTTTTTGAAAGTTTCACAAATGCATTTGATTGTTAAAAGCTTGCAGTGTTAAATATGACTATTGTAGGTGTAGATCTGTTGCACTTGTACTTTAAAGGGATAGCTATGTGCACGTAAATAAATAAAAAAAATGATAACTTTGGATGTAACTGACAATTTTGTATGAATGTAAATTTTTAATTTGCAATTAATTGGGAGTGGATCCCCGCATTCGCTTAATTTCAGTTTGGCGCCAAATGATGCCAGTTTTTAGTGATGTCTTTGAATATTTGTGACCAAAATTACCAAATTAGATTTCTTTGCATCAAATTTACTATGAGCCCTTGCAAATTGAGTTCCTAAATAATAATTGCGATATAAACAATATACTGCAGTTAAGAATTCAATATCCGTTTTGTCTTCCTAGGAGAAAAGTAGAACCTGAGCTAAAAACTACAGCATGGTTCTGTCAAAATATTCACCCTGTGTTTTCCATACCATACCAGTTTTCTTCGGGATCATTATGCTAGTTCCCTTTATATGAAAGCCTCTGAATCTCTTATATGGGAAATTCTTAACTCCCAAACGACCAAGACCAAAGAAATCTGAGCCGTCGCTTAGGGATTAAGAAGGCGAGTGCAGAAATCGCCTTTTCATGGGTAACTCTATTTGAACTCAACGCGTAAACTTGAGGGATGCTACTTTTCAGTAAACTTCATGCCCAAACGTACCGTTTTTGTACTCCCGTAGGTCTTTTGCCAAGTCCCCTTTCTTTATTAAAACAAAACGCGATCCCGTGATTCGTTATTGAGTCAGCAAGAGAACTAAATTTATCCCTATAACTTGTGGCTTAAGGTTTAGGAAAAAATTTAATAGCGAGGACGCTGGTATTGGAATTTTGCTACAGAGAAACTCAAGTCTGTTTCCTAGGTGTATTGTAGTGCAACTGAGTTTTTGTTTTAATTTTTTTAACATTGTTTTAACATTTCATCCCTTAATCCACGCTAGTAAAATGTGCGCAGATTGCTACATTTTCTTAACTTAATCGTTTCTTTTTGTAAACTTAGCAGGAGTGATTTAGTACAACTGAGGGTTGCCTGTTGCGGTTGATATTAAATCTATACGTTTCAACCCTTAATCAAAATAAGCCAATTTCTGCATGCCATTTTTCCTAAATGCAAAGGGGCAGTTTAGTTCAACTGAGTAGTGTCCTTGCTTTACTTTTCCAAATATTGCTATTGATGCTAAATCTACATCCTTCATCCCTTAAACAAAGCCAATAAAATTTGTGCACCGCATTTTATACTTTCTGAAATACTAAATGTAGCTGGGCCGGTTTAGTCCAACTGAGGGGTGCTTGTGGGTTAATTTTGTAAACATTGCGTGTCCAACAAAATGTGGGTACAACTGGGGGGAGTGACTTTGCTATAATTGATATTTGCTATGTTTAGGGGACCGAAGTGCCTTTTAGCAGAAAGAATATCATTTGTAAAGTCTTAAATTTTTATTTGGTGATGGAGCAAAGTTACAATTCAAACCCATTAAAGAACTGATGACATGTAGTCTCGTTCATTAGCCTTTTTCCTATATCCATATAGTCCTTTTTAGTTGGTTACATGTGAAGAGATACTAACGGCGCAAAACAACTCGGAGATCCACGCATGCGCTTTGTTTAGCGAATTAAAATGTACCTACCTTCTTTTTTGCTTTTAAATTCTTCACTCTAACAAAATCTCTTATTTATCTTGTGTGTTTTGGTATTTTTTCTTTATCTTGAATATCTATAGGTACGGTTGAGTAATACAGATTTGTTTTACAGAACATTTCTTTTAAGTCTTGTAGCAGAGACTCTGGCCATGGGGGATCTGAGCAAGAAGATTCTCCAAGACTGCACACGGTTATATTGGATACGCGTCTAAATAATTGTAAAGATATGCGCCGTCAGTCGTACGTATCGGCCGAATTGAACAACGCGCTCAGCAATAATTTACATCAAGTCGATTTTGACAACTACGCCGACTCTGTACCGCACCAAAAACATTTACAATTACCTCAAAATCTGCAACCAAACATAATGCGTAAGAAGAATGGAAATTTTCTACGATCTGCGAGTCCCTGGAACCACACCTACACTGAAATACAGAACGGAAGAATGCGCGGTTTAGTACCCGAAGATGATCCGGTCTATGAAGAGATTGAACGCAATGAAATACAAGTGTCAGATATGAGTGATGAAGATGGAAAGCGTCAAAGTGATATGAGTCGTCAGTCATCGCGTTCTTACGGAGATCATCGGCCTTTAATTCCATATAGTCCGGCAACAGATAGAAGTATTCATTCATGTTTGGAAGCAGTGACGAAACATCGCCTTAAGGAACCAAATCGCTACACAACAGATATAGAAGATTATCGTATGTCAAGACAGCATCTATACAGAGGTGATGCGGCACGATCATTGGCTGCAGTACTAGACGGTGAAACTGTCATCTGTCACCTTGAGCCGCCCGAAATGTATCCACATGATCCTTATTCCTCCCGAACTCTAGTTTTACCGCAGTATAGTGAGAGTTAGGAAACTGCCATTTGCAAGTGTATATCTGTGATTATAGCATGATCAGATCTTTGATCATATTAGTTAAGTAAGCTCAGTTCGCATGAATGATGGAAAAGTGATAATTTTGTACTAGTGAACTATTTTAATATTTATAAAAATATAAATGCCTCTTTTATATGTGAGTTTTTGAGCCATAATAAGTAAATAAGTAATAAATTATTACAGTTATAGCCAAATTTGTACTTTATGCTTTATTCAATTCATTGCTCATTCATTTACCGTATTGTAAATAGGGTGAACACATTTCAATTCATTTCGTCACTATTCAAATGTAATGTCTTGATGTTAACGCAATTTATATTTCTTGTCACTAATCAAACCCGGTAAGGATTGACACGTTTTTGAAATTTATTTTTGTTATAGAATGTACGTCGATTCTTATCGGACGACAAATTGATTTATTATCTTAAGCCATACTGCAAGAAGCACAATATATGTACATAAAAATTGACAGAAACTGTTAATGGTTAGTATTAGTTATTTACAGATTAGTAGTGTTCACTAGCTCTACCCATTTATTGTTTGAATGTGTCCCACCCAAGCATATAAAAAATGATGTTAATAGTATTGAATTGATGTTACCGTTGCAGTTTTTAATTAACATTCTAAATTCTAGGTTTTATTGACAATACTGCATTACACCTAATTGGAGTTACACACGTTGTTAATTATTTTGTGCCCTCAAGATGTGTATATATTGTATAGTGCTTTGTACATGTTGATTAATTGTTTAAGTTGGTGCACACGTTATTTATGCCATAAGATTTATATATTATGACATAAATAAACGACGACCCATTTTAAAATGTAAGAAATATAAAATGAATCATAAGTCTGACCAATAAAATTGATTTTCTTTTTAAGAAAAACAATGTGATTTATTATAAAATAATGTAAAGCAATTGTTGAAGATTTCACACAATCAGTTCCAGTAAATGTATGTTTTAAGGCGTCTTGTTTGCACGTACAGAACAAATTGCAAAATGCAGGCGATGATTATCCATGAAACTGGTACTAATTCAATGTAGGAAAAGCCCATAAGTAATTTATGTACCTATGTTTGTTTCATGTTGTCACCTGTATCCATATATACACCATAAAAATAGTACCTGTTTCGTGTTTATTTGTCGTACCATGTCCAACCATTTAGTAGTGCTGTGTCAAAATAGTCCCACCAAAACTAGCACATAGCTCGGTTGGCTAGTGAAGTGAATGGAAATCTTTGGGGATATTTATGTGCTAATTTGAGGTCTTTGTCAACCCTTTCTGTTTAGCATGCCTATTAATGGTAGTTGTTAACCGTCAACACTTTTTGTAATTTCTCTGTGTTGTGAAGAATAATAAAATTTTACTTCCTTATGTAATACCCAAACCTGCTCGAACAAGTCCGAGAGTTCAAAAGTACTGATGTTAAACAGTCGACGTGATCAAATAAATATGTTTATAAAGAACTTTAATGTGTGTTAATAAAGAACATACACAAGTTACTTCATATTTAATGTAAAAACTGTCATTTGCAGCAGTGTTACCTATATTTTCGACAACATTGTTTTAAATGGTTGGAGATGGTAGATTCATTCTACAGACGTAAAGTGAGCTAATGAGACATTTTGCATTTGTCGCTGTAAGGACGTCATTCATGCACAAGTGGTCTGTTGCTCTCTTCCACCCCTTCAGCTGGCCCTGTAAGGACATTAGCAATTGATTGTGTGAGCATCACTACTTAATTTGGGCAAAAAATACCCTAAATACTAGTATTATTTGTGAGGAATCACAAATTCAAATACAACAAGCCTAAGAGGTCTCCATTATGGCTGTGTGGTAGATCTGCATATAGCGTTAATGTATGCAAAACATTTAGGCATGATTCGCCAATAGTGAGAAGTGCCCCTTAGATTTTGTCTAGAATACCCCACAGAGCAAGAGAATGGTAATGTACTGTACTGTGGTTAGGTATAATTAAAGCAACACTGTATTTTTATGATAAGTTTTATTTATTTAATTCACAATACAAAAATGAACATGAAATTATGAATGCTTAACTATAACCGTTATACAATGAATTCACTATTAAGGAATAGGTACAAACTAAAAAAATCACAAAGACGAACTTATTTATAATTTCTTACACCTTTTATCTCCATAAAAGCTTTCCTTCCAAAAAATAAATTGTTTCGTTTCCGTAACCTCGCGAATACTAATAGAATCCTGGACAGTGCACGAAGTTATATCCTTGGGAGAAAAATGAAACAGACGGTTGTTGAGACGTTCAATGTGTAGACGCTGGGCCATTATACCAGTTATAAACAAATCAGGTAGTCTTATTAATCGACGCTTCAGGGAGTAATAGTATATATACTTGGCTAATCGGGCTGGCATCAAATAGGTCCCTCCAAAAATAAACCTCGGAAGCTTAGATGGCTTGTATTCGGATTTTGGCAGGTAATAGTAGGATTTCTTATTACGAACAGTTTTCCAATTTTTGTGTACTCTTCCGTACATGGCATTTTTTCTTGGATCACGTTTCGACATGTAGGTGAATAATCGGGGAATGTTGACAAATACATTGTCTTCAGTTTTAAGCAGGTAATCAGCTTGGGAGCAATAATCTCCCACCCATTTTAAGAGCGCTATAGCCTTAAGTGTAGAATTTGCCTGCGAATCTATGAGTTTTAATTGTAGGATGTCATTATAGAGTTTTCGCTCATTTTCAATTTGTTGTTGTAATTTTTTGTTGGCCGCTTTGCCAATTATAAAAAACAATACGACGTCACGTTGGGCTGCATAATGGCCCCACGTATGTCGTATAGCCACACGAGCATCTTTGCGGGATGGAGCTGATGGAATCACGACGACAAGTCGCAAGTTTTTAACTGTACAAGTCAAAGGATCAATAGTCGTGCAAATATCTTCGTTGGCTGGTAGATGGCGTAGGTATGGTGCTACAGGTTTTGGAGGCGGCGTTGATGTTGTCACCTTTGCCGCTTTATGCCAGTGCCAGTTCCGATCTTCAGCATAATATGCGCCTACCTCTGGCCTGCTCCTGTGTGGTGACGAGATTGGGAGAAATGGTGCTGTGTAGATGTAATATCCTATTAAAAACACATTAAATACAACAAGCACAAATGCCACCATGACTTGTATTATCGGTACCCATAGCCAAGCTTCTCGCCGCATCTCCGCAATCATTTTTCTAGAAAGAGGAACTGAATAGATGTTATTGTAACATCGAGTATTTACCTATTTACGGCAAAAATGCACTTAACCTGAACTATTTAATGGTTAAATAAGCAAATTTAGACGCGTCAATACTTTGTTGTACTTTAATAACTGTCAAGACAATTGAAAACAAGGCAACTATGATCCAAATTTGTAAGTTATTTTAACCGGTATTTTTTACTGATTTGTTGCTATTGGTTTTATTTGTGTAATTACGTTCAGAAAATCAGGTTTGGTGAAAGTGGTTAAGAAAAATTCGTCTTTAAGTGTTGCTCACAACTCAAAGCGAGCTCCTTAAAATTTGTTCGGGGATCAGATTTTTTGGGTGCCTCTTAATATAATCAAAGTAGCGTAATTATTCTCAGTTCTGATGGGTCTTTGGGCTAAAATCTTCCAGAAATTGTAACGTTTCCGTTTACATTTGAATTGAAATTCCCGCTAAATATGAAAATATAAACTCAAGGTAACCAACAATAAGAATTTGGACAAAGGTAACTAGTAAGGGTCAAGGGGTTATCGAATGTGGAGAGGATAGAGGTGATTGAGCGTGAGAAATATGGTTGAATGAATCCGAGAATATTGTTGTAATCCTGTAAGAAATTCAAAATTAATTAAATTGATTGAAACATTTACTACAAACATAAACTAAGTAAGTAATTATTTCATGGTAATTCTTTTATAACTCTCAAAATTCCGTTTCAAATTTTAGATCCATGCCAGACATATGTGATATTTGAAATTATATGAAATTCCTTTTAATTATCAAATAAACCCAATAACATTTGGTAAGAAGAAGTGTTAAAGCAAAAATTTATTTTAATTATACCTAATTTATTTTAGGGTTTATTTATTACTTATTTATTAGATAGTTAAAATACCAATTTGGATCATCGTATAATCTACCCTTAATTTACCAAGTTTGACCAATACCTATTTACCTCTGGAGCCGGAATCCACATCAGAATCTCATCCAACGCCGTCGTTTGGTAACCACCACCGAGTCCTAAAACAATAAAAAAATAGAAATCAATTTGGAGTAAGGTCAGAAAAACTGTTTATAAATTAAACTCACCTCATTAATCATCCAACACAAAACATATTGTGAAGTAATCACGACATACATAATCTGTAAGAGATCTCCGGTAAAACCCCACAACACCCACTCAAACATTCACCTCTCTTTCATTTCTAGTAGTCCTTAAAAAAAAGAAAATTTTATATTAAAAAAAATAATATTGACGAACCAGTTATTATTTTAGCGAACATTAAAGAATCAAGTATTTGTGTCAATGGTTTATTTCATATAGTTCTAGGACTGGGTTTTATTAATCGTACCCTAATTTGTCCAACGCAACTCTGGCGCCCTAATAATCCTTATGCTCTCCGGTTTTGAGCCGAGCGAAGGGGTATCGGTCCAACATTGTATGAACCATTGCCATACAGTTTTCTTACCAGGTAGGTAGTTTGTTTCTTGATTGATTTATTTTGTTGTCCATTTAACGATTGACCGTATTTACGTTACCTCTTCATGAACCTATCGAATTGGTATTTTTGCCAATACGAAAAGGTTTATGTCTCTGTCGAGCTAAGACAAGTCTGTTCTCTATGAACTTTGAAGGCAAGATTAAAGTACAGCGTTTGCTATATTTTGTAGTAGTTTGTCCACTGTAACTATTGATATAATCAAAGTATCGCACAAAAAAATGATTGCTTCATTTAACCATAAATAGTTTACTTTAAGTATAACATAATTTCCTATATGCGCGAGTAAATGTTATAATTAATTTAAGAAATTGGTATGCTCATTAAAGAAATCAATGATGTATTAAACCATTGAATAAAAATAGTGTTTTTATTCAATGATTAAACTCAATACGGTCATATATTTGAATTTGATATAAGTAGTTTTATTGGTTTAATAAAACAATATAATTACATTTAAAATAGCGATGTATTCAAATCCAATGTAACATATAATCGCAATAATTGTAGTTTGCACTAAGACTAACAAAACCAAACGTTTAATTTAAAATTACTGTATATTAAATCCAATTTACGTTAACTTTGGTGCAAGAGCTTCATTTCCTTACTTCTAATACAACTATGCTTTGAGTTAGCTTTTAGCTCAATATAACGTCATGATATATTCAATGTAATTATACAAAGTACTAACCATTAGAATAGCTTGTATTCAAACAAAGCTCTTCATAATGCCAGCTTGAAATTAAAATTTTGTTCTATAAAAACAAAGCTTCGTTCATTTGAGTGTGACCCTTTTTACAAAGTCCGGTTAACCCTTGATTGGAATTAACTTGTGGATTAAGGTGTGATGTATCATATATCCATTGCGTTAATTCTAACCGATGGTTACACCGTCGGTCTTTGTAAGACATACCTACCTGCTAAATTAGGTAGTTAGGTACTACCTTAATGGTGAAATACAAGGAGCTGTAGCAGAAGGCACCTATAAGTCCCTTATAAGACGCAAAGATAAAATTGAAAAGCAGTTAAAAAGTGTATTTAAATACTTCACCAAAATTTCATTCTGGGATGATGTAACATTACAAACTACAATAGAAAATTAGGACTATACTTGCTGCACTACAATATCTTAAATATTTTCCTTGCACAAATTAGGGAAAATATATTGTCTCTATTATGACCAGTGTAGGTAGTAAAAAAAAAACTACTACAAAGTATATTATTTAACCTTGAAAATATATCTTATGTAACATTACTCTGTAATTGGCATTAGCTGTTGGGTAATAAATTATTATTATGGTCGGTGTATCTTGTGAGAACTCAGGTCTAGCCTGGTTAACTAATCGCACGGATTAAAATCAAGTAACGATTAGTGTCTGTGTCTGTGTCTGGTAAAGTTATGTAGGGTCCTAAAAAAAATAAAACAAATAAATAAATAAAATAAAAATTCACACCCTCACATTGGAAATCTAGAGATAGTATGTATTTCATACTTACCAACATAGCTATTGATGGGCACAATAGCCAACGCTATCAGGACAAAACAAAACAAAAAAAAATCATTATAATAATTCCTGTAATTTTATTAAATGGAGTTTATTGTGTAAGTGTTTCTTTGGCTTTGCGTGTGGGTTGAATACGAGTGGGTTGTGATAACGTGGTGTGTTTCTGTGAAGAAGGAGTTTTGTGTTTTTTAGCTGTGGTAGGACGTGTAATTTTATTGGGTGGACCTGTCTTTGTGGTGCATGTTGCCTTACTTGTATTTATGGTGTTTCTTTGTTCTTGAGGTTGTATTTGTGAGGTTGCTTGGGTTTTTGGTGGAGATATTACAGTATGTTGTGAGCTAGTAGTGCTGTTTAGATTTTTGCGCTTCGGTTAAATACGAGTGGTTTGTTTCTGAGAAGAAGGAGTATTATGTTTTTTAACTGTGCTAGGGCGTGTAACTATTTATTTATTATTATTATTATTATTGTAAACTTTTCAAATATACCGCGCCCAACCAAGCACCATGTGTGTAATATTGTGCAATTCTTTACAATTTTTTTTTCCATTTTTATATTGTTTCCTGCAAGCGTCCCCATTGCCATGTAGTTGTATATCAATTATTTTAAATCTTGGATACTTAGGGTTTCTAGAACCTCAATGGTGATATCATTGGCTAAAAAGTAAACCACAATAAGCCTAAATATGCAAACAAACAAATAGCAACAACATAAAAAAAGTGTGAAGATATCTCTCTATGTTGCATGTGATTGGATGTTTTTCAAAGAATGATGTTATTCATATACAATAAGTGCATTATTTTGAGGTTTTTGGTTAGTAGTAGTATATTAGATATTTAACCTACGTTCTTGCACAAACAAGCTTTAATTTGTTAGATCAAAACGCATCCCGCAAAAATTGGTTGGGGAAGGCCATGCAAACAATTTTAAAAAATTATAAGCCTTTCTTGCCTGGGAATGTGGCGATCGTTTCCTCATTCTGCACGTTCTATTGTCAACAGATTCTTCCATTTTTGTAATATACCTAAAGCAATAAGTTCATCAAGAACAACGAAAAAACACTGGCGCGCACTCTGAATTACACCAGACGAAATACGAATAGTATAGGCACTGATCGGATGCTTGTATAGGTATAGATAAACATTTTGCAAGTTTATCATGCATTTAAGATCAAGAAATAAATGATTGATATGCTTGATTTATTGGCTGAAATTGACTCTAAATATTACATTTGAATGAATAAATATTTTAAACTAATCATTTCTATGTCGATTTAAAATTCCCGTATATTTCAAGCAACAATATGTCAAGTTTAATTGAAGAAAACTGAAATACTTTATTTGAGCACGTCAATACTTGACTTGAGACTATTCTCGTCCATTCAAAAGTATTACTCAAGTATTTATTATACTGTATGCGACTTTATTGCTTATTTACTTTTAAGATAAGAATTTGCATCAAACATACGATAATGTTGATACAAAATGATATTTCTGAATAAATAGCCATTCTTAATTGAAGAATAGATTTTTTTGTGTAATTGTTCTTACTTCTGCCAGCGTATACCTTAATAGTGAGTAGAAAGTCGACTTGTTGACTACAGCTTATTAAATTTTCCGTTCAAATCTTCAGATTTGATCCAATGCTTTTCCCGCAGAAGAACCTTTATGTTCAAATCTTTAGAATTCTCTTAGATCCTTTTTTATCTATACACAAAGGAATGCCCGTTCTGCTGCTTCTAATAAAAACAGTTTACAACAATATTTATTTGCTACTTGATAGTTTGGACATATGCCTGGCGTCGCCGCCTCTCCCAGGATTTAGTCAACTGTCGTGGGGATGCATCCCTGATAGGCACTATCAGGGGCGTCTTTTAAGTGAGACTTGGTTTAGGACAAAGATTTTTTTCACGCAAGTGAAATGTCCCGCGCAATTATAGGTGGAGATTTCAATGCGCATCCCGCGGTATGGGGTCAAACCGCGGTATGGGGTCAAACCGCAATGACACTAATGGAATGCAGTTCATATACAAACAGCAGATGATCTTAATTTTTCTATTATTAATAATGGTCAGCCAGCAGTCACTCTACCCGATCAACAAAAATCCATGGTAGACATCAAATTCTGTTCTTCTCATCTTGGAAATAAATTAAACTGGGCGGTGATCCCGATAGTTAGTTATTCAAATGAAACTTATCTGTTATCATTCAACAAAAAGTACCAAAAAGTAAGTAGAACAGTAAAAAACGCCAATTGGTCTATGTACACACAAACGCTTGAAGACTTTTTCAATAGCGTAACTATTGACGCAAAATTAAAATAAACAGACAGTATAGACTTTGCAGCGACAAAAGGTATTCCCCAGTTTAAACGTTTGAAGAGGACCCGCAAATAACCAAAAATATTTCGCGCCAGCTAGTTTTGTAAACAAGGTATCTTGTGCTGGTATTGGATACGTTTCCCTTTTAATATATTTATTCAAATAAACTGGGTCCAGACATATGCAAATATCCGCACCCTTATTCTTTGGTACAACTACTATTGGATTTTGCCAATCAGTAGGTTAAGTAACCGGAACAATCAAATTGTTTTCAACCATTTCCGTTAACTTTTCCCTGACTTTGTCTCTAAGTACTAGTGGTATTTTTCGCGTACCGCTTATAAAAGGAACCACGTCATTGGTTAAAGTTATCGTGAATTTATAAATCTAGACCTTTATCTATCTACAAAATGTTCGGACTGTTTTTTTAAAAAGTTTATACCAACTGAATACCGATTGTTTAAATTACACCGATTTTTGCGCTAATCTGTTTTATTTTTTTACTTTCGATCAATACGATTTATGGAAAAAGTAAACCGACAGTTTTCTCGATAAGTCACTTCTAAACATTAGCCCAAAAAATGAAATCATATTTTTTGTAAATAAAGTCTGTATCTTGGCAGGCGGTAAATCAACAATTTTATTGTAGCAAGTGGCGCCGCTGCACAGTGTCGGCGGGAACTAACTAAGGATCAAGACAGGAGTTGACAAAGCAAGAATATCATCTTGTGTCTTGCATAATTATAATTAATCATCTATACACTATATTGTAAAAAAGTTGCGCTTAGGTAAAGAAGACTTATCAACTTTACAGATTAGGTACCCGTAAAAACACTAATATATTTTTGTAAACCGCTCTTACATTTCACTATTTGCAGTCAACAGTCAACGGTTGATTATTATTGCCTAGTTTAGACTTTTGCACACCCGTACCTAAGTCCCAAAATTGATTTTGAAAAGTCGTTAGGCAACACAAAATAACAAATTTTGCGATATACCGTTATAGGTAATTGCATTGCAAAAACATTTGTTCTAACACCTCAATTTTATGTCCAGTGTAGCTCGATAATACACTCGACGAGGGTACCTAATAGTTCTTTGGAAGCAATATTTAGCTTTTGCAAGTTCGAAAAATTAAGAATACTTACTTGACTGCTTTTTAAATTAATTTTACAACAATTAATTTTAATTGTTGTCTCATACTAGTCTATTAAATTCACACGAGAATCTTGTTGTGAGCCTTTTTGTATTGTCCACACTAGGTTTTTATCACGGTTAAAGTACCTAGCACTAATCTGAGTTTGACAGTCGCTCTTAGAACTAGTGTCCTCATCAATTTCATGTACAATACCCTTTTTTGGACAAAATTGGCGATAATGCCCCCTTT